GTGCAATAGAAAATGTAGAATGTAGTCCGGAGTGACACGAAACAGTCTATGTAGTGTGGGAGTCAATATAATGAGAGGGCGAGCTCTGGTGGCGAGCGGACGAAAGGCCACGGACAGGATTTATGACAATTAGGATCTTCTGAACTTCCTTCAACCAAATCTCATCTCAGAGTTAAAGGTAAGGTCACGGTACCACAGTGATGCAGCTTCAAAGTCTGAGGAGAGTGTCAGACTAGAAGTCTATATTTACACTGAAGGACACTGTCCAATGAAATCACTTCCTGTGTAAAATTATCACTATTAAAATGAATCATACCATAACCATAATTTGAAAGACCACAGCTCATCTGTGAAGACGTACTGCAAGACACACACAAAAAATGGAATTTAATGGAGATTACTTTAATGAAACTGCTAATCACAGAAATTTTGTGGACACAACTGCACCTCGAATACACCGCCAAGATGAAGGAAGAGCTCGAAATCACAGTAAGCAGAACCTTTAGTTTGAATCAGAGATTATGTCAGTAAGCTTTCAGGAAGTGAGAACTGTATTTCAGTAATTTTCTAAGAACAAAAAGTTATTTACTTAAGCAGCATATTTTCTTGTTTGGGTGTTTTACTGTACAGTAAATATTGATCAATATTTTGTGTTTTATTTGTGTCTGACAGGAAGAAGGGGGTTTTTGGTGACGATCACTGTGTGTCTTGGGATCATTTGTCTTCTTCTGATTGCTGGCATCATACTGCAGCACTTTCAGGCCACCACTAAGCGAGGTTTGAACGTTTTTGTTGTTGTTGTTGTTGTTGTTAATCCTATATAAAATTTTAAAGCTATAGGGAAGGCAACATTTTCCATACTCATTTTGTTTTACTGCTTGAAAGCCTCAATGGGTCTGTGTAGCCACAGACCAATCAGAGAGCCCATGATGACTCCTGTTCACAGTTTGGGGAGGCATGATGCCCAAAAGAGGCATTTGCAAAGGTTGTTTGAAAAAATGCTTTATTTTTGTATTTCCGCTATGTTACACTAGTAGTGCAGAAACTGCCTACTCCAGCTTTAAAAGTCTGTGTTTCTCTCAGGATATCTGTGGGGTCCAGATGGCTTGTTCATGTCCAGTGAGTTGAAGAGCTGGTCTGACAGCAGGCAGTACTGCAGGGATCATGGAGCTGATCTGATCATTATCAACACTGAAGAGAAGCAGGTGAGTTTGTGTGTCTATTACTGAATGAGAGGAATCACACTTATTCCTTGTTATTCCTATTCGCACAGAGACACATATCTTCATTCATCAAGGAGAGCGTGTGGATTGGTTTGTCTGACACAGAGAATGAGGGCAACATGAAATGGGTGGATAATTCACAAATGAAACAAGGGTAAGAGTTAAAACACTCACAGAAAACCATGGTGGATTTATTTGTTTTAGTCTGTTTATTCTCAATTTAAAAATAAGACCATTAATGAGAAGATTTTCTGAACACAGTTCTTCCACCAGCACAACCATGAAAGGCAATTCTCACAAATACATTCTATTAAAAGAATATTCTCCTCCTCTCTTAAATTTTCACTTCTGCTTCTGCAGTATTTTAGTTTACTCTTGAAACTATTGTGCTGCTGCGAGCATTGTTGATTACTGAATTGGTTGTCACAATCCTCATTAAGTTGCTAAATAATGGATGAAAACTTTGAGCAAACTTTTGGGGGTTCATTAAAAATCTGGCACATTTTTATTCAGGTATTGGGCCAGAGGTGAGCCGAATAACTTTCAAGGTAGAAATGAGGACTGTATTGAACTGATGCCTTCAGATCTCATACTGAACAACTGGAATGATCGCTCATGCTCTGAGAAGAAAAAAGGGATTTGTGAGAAATAGGGATCATCCTTCATCCTTGTCTTGCTTTTACATGCTTTTACATTGCTCCATTGTAGCAGCTGTTAGTATGACCATATTCTGCTGTTATCATGTTTCTCATTTGTTGGTCTGAAGTGTTGAGGTGACAATCATAGTAGAAGTCTAGAGTGCCCCAGACAGCAATAATACACACCTTTACTCTGATATTGAGTGTCTGTAAAACTGCTTCTGATTTAATAAAACGGTCAATTGACAGTATAATCACAGCATTTTTTGGTTTCATTTCTTGTGTATCTGTTTTGTTGCTTTCTGGAGAGATGTCCTCCAGTCCAGCAGGATGCAGCAGAGAGCAGAGCAGACAGAAATATTCTGTAGTTTCTGGAAAGCAGTACTAAATGAAAACAAAAAAAAACTTTAAACAAAATAAGAACAATTTACTCATCACCATCCTGTTCAAAGGTTTACACCCCCTGTCTGTCTTGTTCAGTTTTGGTTTCAGTTTCATTTCCATGGACTTTTAGTTTGTATCGCCTTATTTTCCTGTGTTTTGTTCCTGCTTCCTTTCTTCCCATTGCTTATTTGTTGTTATGGTTACTGATTACATAGCTCATCTGTTTCTTGTCTGGTTCCTCCTTCTGGGGTTGGCTCCTTCTATTTATTACTTTATTGCCTTTATTAAAGACTGACTGCTACATTTACATCCTTTCTCTTCCCGTTACTACAAGTAGCTGTGATACTGTCAACCTGTGTATTTCTTAATATTTTGTCTAACAGCCCAAGTGTGCCTGTAGAAATGTGCAAAAACTAATTTTTCAGGTTAAAAAAAAAAGGTAAATAATTACACTGCTCCATAGCGAATACTAAGTGATCAAGGTCTCGGTCTGGTTCCGCTTAAACTTACTGCACTGTTTCCGCCAAAGTGGCCAGATTTGCACTATTTAAGCAAAAAAGTACCCATTCTAGAGACCACAGCTCATCTGTTTACACAATACCACACTGTAAGAGCAAATAATGGAAACAGAGACCTATTTTGTAAAAAGAGATAGTAAGGACTCGACTGGAGTCACTGCCAGGATGATG